AACGGAGACGTCTCCGCCTTTCGTGCCCGAGAGCCCTTCCCTAGAGGAAGAGGACCTGGGCGAGAATTCGCCCAGAGCGTCCGCGTCGCCGCCGCTGGGGAGCTGGCGCGCCTCCAGACCGCGGGGCTCTGGGCACGGCCGTCGCCCGCAGAACATGGCGCCGTGGACGTTCTGGCGCTGCTGCCAGCGCACCGTGGGCTGGGTGCCGGTGATATTCATCACCTTTGTGGTCATCTGGTCCTACTACGCGTACGTGGTGGAACTGTGTGTGTGTAAGTACCGAGGACTGCACGCCCGGTGAGGCCGGAGAGCCGAGGGGCCTGGGGTCTCCTGGCCGGGGGTGGTGGGACCGGAGTCCGGGTCGCCAGGCTGGGGATGGTGGGGATGTTGGGGCCGGGGGTGAAGTAAGCGCAAGGCGCCGGATGGGCCCGGGCGGGGTACCTCAGCTTGGGGAGGAAGATGGGGCCTCTGCGGTCCCAGCCGCTCCTGGTTGCGGGCTTGCACCGGCCCCGCCCCCGCCGGCGTCCGAGCCTCAGGAGTCAGCGTTTGGTACGAGTTCAGCCCTAGTACCAGCCTCAGGTGCTCGTCCCCGGGGGTGTCAAGACACGTGCTGTCCCGCCGACCCGCGGCCACTCGTGTCGCTCCTTTTGTTGAGCCCGCGCGGCGCCGACTCGGGACGCTTTCTGGGGCCCCGGGTCGTAGCCGAGCGAGGGCGGCAGTGCTGGATTCCTGGTGTCTGCGGTCGATCAGCCAGGTTCCTCATTCTTCTGTGAAGGAATGTTCACAAAGGTGTTTTCTTGGAACGGGAGGAGTCGAGCTTTGTAGAAGCTTGCTTTATTTCAGTTATATTTTTTGTGGAAGGATATTTTGTTTCTTTTGTACTTTTATTTAGGAAAAAAAAACCTGTACCTTCTAGATCGTTTTTGCCCAAACAGCGTTTTTAAAAAAAAAAGCCTCCTGACACCTGAAGAGCAGGTGTGGGCAGTGGGGGACGTGTTCTTTCGTTGCCTCTTCTGCTGAAGGTAGTTTAGCCTCAGATATTTGATGAGTACCTTTTTGAATGCCTGACCCATTTTAAAATTCATTTCTTTCCAGTTTGAATCCAGTAACTTAAAATGTTGTCTTAAGATAGAAAGAATGGGCGAGACAGTACATAGCCTGGTTATCTTTTTCTTGGCTGTTATAGAGGGGGCTTTTTTTTTTAGTATTTCTCGCACCTTCAGATGCGGGTCCTGTCTTTCTTTCCTTACTTCCAAGTTTTTAGTACTCAGTTCTCACCTTATTTCTCAGGGGGGGGGGAGAAGGAGGAACGTTGCCATACACTTCAAGGATTCAAGATAGTAGTTTGAATAGGTTGTCTTTAAAAGAAGCTTGAGAGAAGTTGTCATTAATTAACACATATTTGGAGGGCTTTGACTGTAAGGAGGTCTGCTGGTGCAACAGTTCAGCGCTCAGTTTCTAACCAAAGGTTGGCTGTTTGAACCCACCCAGCCTTGGGGAACGACCTGGCCTATCTGCTCTACTCAGGACTGAAAAAAGCAAAACCAAACTTACTGCTGTTGAGTCGGATCCGACGCCTAGCGACCCCTTCTTGGGTTTCCAAGGCTGTATCACTGCAGGAGATTGCCCAGTCTTCCTTCCAAGGAGTGCCTGGTGGATTTGAACCACCAGCCCTCTGGTTAGCAGTCAAATGCCTTTGGCTCTAGGCCACCAGAGCTCCTCTGTCTGGCAAAAATTACAGCCTAGAAATCCCTATAGGGCAGTTCTCATAGAGGAGATAGGTTTGACTCCATGTAGCAACACTAGGTGATACTGCGGGAAGACTGATAAGCTGCTGATCGAAAGATTGGAGGTTTGAGTCCACCCTGAAGCACCTTGGAAAAAAGGCCTAGCAATCTAAGAATCAGCCACGGAAAACCCTATGAAGCATAGTTCTGTTCTGCCTCAACGTGGGTTACCAGGAGTCGACTACATTTCTTAAGGTATATAACTGTTTTCAACTTATGCTGGCCTCCCCAAGGTTGTTCTGTATATGTCTGCTCTATATATCATGTTTTCGTGAAAACCAGGACCTAGTGGTATTTGTTAAAGCAATCCCTTGGTATCTCAGAATGATGTAGTCTTAGATTCCTAGACTGAGTCCACAGTTACTTTGAGGATGCTTATTATATAGTCTTTGAAAAAGAGCCCTGTGAAGTAAATACTAAGTGTGTAAATGAAAAGGGACTGTACCTCAGGATGACAGAATCAAGGTTAATCAAATTATTGGCTCTGGAATCGTGCACATACTGAAATAAGTTGTTGTTGTTATGTGCCGTCGAGTTGGACCTGACTCATAGCAACCCCTCCTTAGGTTTCCGAGGCAGTATCACTACGGAAATAGATTGCCCAACCTTCCTTCTGAGGAGTGGCTGGTGGGTTTGAACCGCCAGCCTTCTGGTTAGCAGTCAAGTGCCTTAGGCACTATGCTACCATAGCTCCTACTGTAATAAGTACTTGGTTAAAAACCCAGAATTCTGTCCATGGAAAAGAATGCTTTGACCTAGAAGTTTAAGGTGAAGGTTTTTGTTTTTTTAATTATCTACCTTTCTCTGGTTATTTTGCACTTATTTAAAAAACCAAACCCATTTGCCATGGAGTTAGTTTCTACCTCATAGTGACCCTAATTATAAAAACCATACTCACTGCCATTGAGTAGATCTGACTCATAGCAATTCCTCCTTGGGTTTCTGAGGCGGTATCTATACGGAAGTGGATTGCCCAGTTTCTGGTTAGCAGTCAGATAGATGCCTTAGGCACTACACCACCAGAGCTCCTAAGCTTATATATAGTCATGGGTATGTTCCGTTCTGTCTACCCATACCTGATCACGTTGCCTGTCTACCGATATAGCCACCTGTACATTAATGTTTGTTATTACTGATAATGTAGTATTGTGCATGTACAAGTATTTTTCTTTGTTGCCGGTATGTCTTGTGAACCTCTCCATGTCTTCTTTTTCTTTAGTGTTATTGTGCTGGTTCTCACTTTTGGTATATTGCCTTTCCCTTCACCCAAATCTACTTTTCTCTTACCCATCTACAATTTTCCCTCCCCTCCTCTTTCATCCTCGGTAACCAACAAAGAATGTTTCCTTCCATGTGAAAACTTTTCCTTGACTTATTTTTTTTTAATTATTAGAGTTTTGGTTTTTTTTTAATTGTGATTTGGGTGAAAGTTTATGTAGCATATTCATTTTTTGGTACAACAGTTGATACACTGTTTGTTTCATGGCATTGCAGGGATTGCAATCCCTGTAATATAACAGCTTTCTTTCCACTGCTTCCCTGTGGTTACCTTTTCCCTGTGTCCTTCTTTCTTGTGCATTCCTGTCCTCTGAGTTATCGCCCTGTGCAAATACTGTCGCCATTCTGGTCTTCCTTAATTGATTATTCTAAGGCGTGTACCTACAAGGTGTAATGTTCACCTTATATGTTTGTCTGTTGTTTTGCTGGAAGCCATGGGAGTGAATTCTCTTCCAGCCCCGAAAGAGTGACTAGAGGCCATAGTCTCAGACGTTTCACCAGTCTCTATCAGACCAGTTGTTAGTGCCGTCAAGGCTACTCTGACTCATAGCAATCCTATGGACAACAGAACGAAACACTGCCCAGATGTGTGCTGTGTTGTGTGTAATCCTTGATATCCCTGAGCCCATCATTGCAGCCACTGTGTCTGTTCATCTCATTGAGGGTCGACCCCCTTTTCACTCACCCTCTATTTTACCAAGCATGATAACCTTCTTCAGGGAATAGTCCCTTCTGACTACATGACCAAAGTAGATGAGATGAAGTCTGCTTCCAAGGAGTGTTCCAGCTGCACTTCTTCCAGGACAGATATGTTTGTTCTTCTGGCAGTCCATGGTACTTTTCAGTATTCTTTGCCAAAACACAACTCAAAAACATCGACTCTTCTTCAGTCTTCCTTATTTATTGTCCAGCTTTCACATGGATATGAGGCGATTGGAAATACTGTGGCTTGGGTTAGTTTTTTAGGATTTTGAGTTTTGTTCCCCATTTTTCTCCTACTTTATCCAGGGTCTCTTGCACTGATCCTTTCCAAGTGGTTGACAGTGGTAGCTGAGCATCATTTAGTTCTTCTGGTCTTGAGGTCATGTAGGCTGAGGTTTGCGTGGTCCACTAGTCCCTCGGACTAATTGTTCCCATGCGTCTTTGATTTTCTTCATTATTCTTTGCTCTGGATGAGGAGAGACCAATTGTTGTATCTAGGTGGTGACTTGCAAGCTTTCAAGACCCCAGTCACTACTCATCCAAAGTAGGATGTAGAACAATGTTTTTATGTAATATATTGTGCCAATTAAGTTTGATGTCCCCCTCGACCATGGTCCCAAGCCCAAAGGCCCAACAGTTTGCTCCTTCAGGGTGGTTGCCTGTGGTTAAGAAGTTACCATAACTTTGCCCCTATTCTATTTGTATGGACAATACATATGTAGAAATATTGTCTGCCAAACTTATGGCATGGGTTTAATCCCTTTTGCTTAGACATACCTGATCATTCAGCCTGTCTACCTTTGTATCTACCCATGTATTGTTTGTTATTACTGATAATGCAGTATTGCGTGTGTGAACATGTTTGTCTTTGTTTTCTGTAACTTTTATGCACTTCTCTTTATCTTCCTTTCCCTTAGTGTTACTACATTGGTCACTTGCTTTTGGTATATTGCCTTTCCCTTCATCTAAGTCAGTGCTACCTGTTGTTGTTGTTAGGTGCTGTTGGGGCGTCTCTGACTCATAGCAACCCTATGTACAGCAAAACGAAACACTGCCCGGTCTTGTGCCAGCCTCACGATCCTTGCTATACTTGAGCCCGTCGTTGCAACCACTGTGTCTGTCCACCTCATTGAGGACTTTCCCCTTCTTCGTTGACCCTCCACTTTACCAAGCATGATATCCTTCTCCAGGGAATGGTTCCATCTGACAACATGACCAAAGGAGGTGAAATGAGGTCTGACCGTTCTCACTTCCAAGGAGCATTCTACTGCACTTCCTCCAGGACCGATATGTTAGTCCTTTTAGCAGACCACGGTACTCTTAGCATTCTTCTCCAGCACCACAACTTAACAGCATCAACTCTTCTTCAGTCTTCCTTATTCATTGTCCAGCTTTCACATACATAAGAGGCAATTGAAAATACCATGGCTTGGGTTAGGCACACCTTAGTCTTCAGGGAGAGATCTTTGTTCTTCATCACTTGAAAAGAGGTGTTTTGCAACAGA